AAATTCCTGGCAAGTATAAAGTAATTTGTCTAATTAAATGACAATTTGCAGACCCAACTTACTTCTTTGTAGCCGAAAATGATACGCCCATCATTGAGAAGGGTGGCCTGAAAAGTGAAACTGCCCAGGTTGTAATTATCCTGCAGATGTACATGGTCCCACTGGACAACTAGTGCTGTGCCTGTGAACCCCAGAGTGGGAGTAGAGAGGCAAAGGGAAGAAAAAAATGTGAGAAAAATATTAACTGACTGTAGAAAAAGTACTTAACTGCAGTTACTTGAAACAAGAAGAGTGATTTGTCTCTTTTTAGCAACTTTCATCCCTGTATCTTGAAATGTCAAAGATATTACGAACACAAGTTGCAACTGAAATCCTCTTAAAGGTAGACACCACAGTGCCACAAATGGCTACCTCAACTAGTCACTCAAAAGTGCTAAACCAAGAGTGGTCAAGTAACTTGTTTGAAATTGCACAAGGAGTCAACAATCACTAAATGTAGAATCCAGCACTCAGAGTTCAGGTGTGCTGCCACAACCACTGCACTGCAGTGGCTTTTTTTACACTATATATATGTATACCCTGATGACTTTGAAATATGAAGTGCTAATAGCATTGCCTGTTCAGTAAAAGTTATTATTTGAGGGATTCAGATTCTTCCATTAACTATGCATTAATATAAATAGCATTAATATTTTTCCACACAGTGCAAGCCCTTGCTGAGGTTCTGCAAGTTGAAAAATATTAGGTGTTGGCAATAAATAAATGTAGTTTAAATTAAAACCTCTAAGAATTCATAGACAGGGTAAATATTGAGTCTGGTGTGCAGAGATTTAGTTGCAAGAGGCTCATTAATATTCATGCGAACTCTCTGGCTGTGTATCCACTTATTGCACTAAAAATGTACCCCAAGTGACTTGCAGACCCTGTGAGCGTGTTTTACAGATGTTGAGGGTTATAGACACATTCAAGCAGCTTGGCTGAAAGACACTTATCACCAAAACTGTGTTTACTGAAAATTACTTTTTCATCTTTACATGCCTTCCTCAACATACTTCTCTCTTTGGCACTAATGGGAGTTATGTGCTTTTATTTACAGCACTTTAATTTCATTTCTTCCTGGAGTGTTCAAGGTGGGTCAGCATGCGTCCAGCTCAATGCATTTTTGATATATCCTTGAAACATCTTTTGTCACAGATCTTCTATGCTGTAACTTTCATTAACACATCTTGGCAGCGTATGTCACAAAACTATGAGCATGTAAATTTTTGGTGCATACTGCACTAAGTCCACCACATTATTGTCCCATGTGTCTTTCATGAGTCTAGTATATGCTCATTAATTGTGCACAGAGTGTATGTTTCCTTCTGTCACCGCATTCATTAACTGCTTTCTGAATATTTATTTGACTATTAAATTCAAAGTAATTTAAAGGGATTTTTAAAATTATTGGAGCAAAAATAGCCAGACCTACTTATATAGTCAGTCTTTGAGTACCTCAGATATATGTGCATCTCAGAACCCCAAGCTAAAGTGGAAGTCAGCTGCCTCCAAAACAGTCTTCTCATTCCCAGGGCCTTTATGTAGATTCATGTGTACATAAGTTCCTTAGAGTTAGCTCCATGAGTGAGATTTGGATGGGTGACCACACTCTGTGCTTGCTCACTACAGATGCTGCTCTAAGGCATCACACTTAACCCAGAGGGATAAAACAAGGATGAATAGAAATAAGGAGCTGAAGACACAATTTGCTCAGTTCCTTTTTATTTGGGGTAAGATAGAAAATTCTGTGTCCTAAAGCACACGCGGTCCAAAAGATCATCATGTCTTACACATGAAGAGGGATCCAAAATCTCAAAGAAGTATTCAACCTTGTCATGAAAGCAATGTGATGCAGCCTGATACACCTGGTATGAAGACTGGAAGTCAGGAATACAATGAGAATTAGTAATGTCTTCCCCAGAATCCTCAGATTCTTTTAGTAAAGATGACAAATTTTGGCCCATAATGTCAAATAATTTATGAAATGAAAATAACATTTGTCTCTCTTTGAAAGTTCTCCATGCAAGGAGCAGGATTTTCTCATGTCAGTCTATTTTATTGGATTTTTAAGAAATAAACGCTGCAAGTAATGACTAGATTGAAAGGAAAGGTTACGACTAGCTGCAAAGGTTATAGGATACATTTTGGTCCCTGATCTAAAGAATAAAAATTAACACAACTGGTTAGAAATGTAACATATTTTTTGGACATGTTCATAGTTTGGGCTTAAATTCACTATGAATAAACATACATAGAATGGCACAGGTTTATCCAGGAAGATTTAAAACAATCATAGACCTTATCATATTAATTAAGTCATGATACTAAACTCTTTAAGTTTTAAATTCAGAATAGAATCAGTTACTGCCATTGTCTTTGATCACTAAAGGCCCTAGGTAAGGCACCAGAGGCCTTTTAATCATATAGGTTATGCTTTCAAAATATTGATTATAACTGACTTCATGAGACAAATATCCACACATTCAAGGCCTTTGAAATATCTCACAGAGCTTCAAGTATAACGCTGCAGTTTGCCTTTTACCCTTTCAATCTTTTGTACAAGGGACTGTTGAGAACTCATGGTGTAGATGAGTGTATTGGATTCCAATTCTGGGACTCCATGCACACTTACTCATTGACAAGTTTATTAACCTCATACCTGCCCTGCTTCTGTATATTCTTGCTATTGCATTCCACAAATGCTATCTTAATTTTAGCTAGTGGGTGGACAGTATTTACTACATATATTTTGAAGTTACAGGAACTTGCACTCTTATACAAGACAGATTTTTCCTTTTAAAACATAAATACTTTGCTAGTTTGAGTTTAGGTAATTTAATATCCAGAAGATTGTGCGTCCAATTAGGAAAAAGCATTAATGACTTTTTAACCATGTTCTAAATTACGAACTGTTTGTGGATATCTAGCCACATGCTTACACTGCCTGTGAGTTAAAAAAAAAGAAAAAAATTAAAAAATCTTAATTTTTTCCTTCAAAAACAGTTAGGAAAATATGAAGAGCCAAGGGACACAGACACATTCATTTATGAAGGACTACTACATACCATTATCAAAGTATCTGACTGTTGAATTTCTTGACACACTGGGGTCAAAATTTGCCATTAAGGGTGCAATATATTGTGTAGCTGTTAGCATTCGATGCACAACTTCTCCAGTATATATGAAACCTACAATAAAAAAAAAAAAATTGAGACCATTTCAGCAACTTCTGAAAAGATTTAGTAGAATGGCAGGTTGAACTAGGCATTTGTCCATAACTCCAGCTATGGACAAAATGAAGATACGTAGCATTTTCAAAATGATCCCTTTACCACCATGCATATTCCATAGTGCTTTCTATCCCTTCCAAAAATTTGCAATTTGTTTTGCTTTTGCAAACTGTTACCTCTTCAAAAGTTAGTCTATCCCTTTTTCACATTTCTAGATTCACAGAGTAAGAGACTATTTCAGACAATAAGAGGTGACAATAAGAGGTAATAAAAAAAAAAGTCAGATGAAGAACAAAACAGGATTTTTGCATGATTATAAACCAAGCAGCATTTCTGCTATATTCTCTGCAGTGTCCTATTTATCCCTGAGTTCACAGTACTCCTCAGATAAATAGTGGGCTTCTCCCCTCAGAAGTGCTCACCCAACACCTCTTACTGGTTTGGAGCTGGAGATCTTCCTTCAAGGAAGAACAGTCATGTATGGTGAATACAGTAATGCTGCAGTTTTCTTCAAAGCAAAATGTGTATTTTAATGGCAGGAAACCTCTGCCATTTTAAACAATAAATGGTTCACAGATAAACCTGTATTGTTTATGTTTGCTAACTCCAACTGACTAACTGGACTAATTTCTTTAGATGCCCCAACCTAAAGCCTGACTTAAAAACACACAGTGGCCTAGAGTGAGTCTTTTCTTAAGTTTTATTTTAGCTTTTGCCTTGCTGGTCAAAACAGACAAACTTTAAGTTGATTTGAGCTACAGATACATCTTCAAAACTAAGGTTTGCATATTACTTGTCCTTTTGAAGTGTTTACCAGATGGTGCCTTATGCTGAAGTGTTTGCTTTTTCTCCTTCAATGATTTAATGAAGTATATTCCAACAGCAAACACCCCAATAACAACAAGAATATTAGAGTTGTCTGAAAATTTTCTAACAGAAAAAATTCTATTTGGAAGATGTCTCACAGAAACTCAATTCTTTACTAGCAAATGATAGTATCCACTGCAACAGTATTTATGCTGGTTTGTGTTTTCTTCTCCTTCCTCAGTCATAGTGACAGTCTCTCTTCCTCCACAACACCTTTTCCTGTCAAGCTCAAGAGGTCCTTTCTTCTCACATTTAGTATCATTGCAATACAACACACGATGAAGCATATAAATCTATCCCTAAAACCCCCAAATTTGTGAAATTCCAGAACTAAACACAAACCTGAACAACTGGAATTACCCTCAAGGTAGAAATACCATTTTCCAGCCAACTCCAGTTAATATATGATAATAAAAAACTATTAGGGTGCAACCTCACTTTCTTAACAACAGTATCTCCATCCTAACCCCTGTGAGGTAAGAGAGGTTTGTTAAAAGACTTGTTTGATATGATAGAGGAAATCTCTGAGAGCATGAAAAAAAAGTAAGTTTCTGGAGTGCTTTAGGCATCCTACTCCTGTCCTCTCCTGAAACACGTTGGTAAATGCTTGCTAACTGTTCACAGAACTAGTTCCAGAAATCATAAGATGCTAAAAACAATCAAAAAAGGTGGTTCTTTGGAGTCATTCTCCTGCATGGCTGCTAGCAGTTAAGATCAAGTACCATGAAGTCAACTCAGGTGGTGATAGGAGACCTAAGAAAAAGCCAGGTGTGGAGAAAATACAACAAAAGATTCAGCTGGAAACATTTGGCATTGACAAAGGGGTGAGCTAGGAACATAGCTGTCTTTGCTTCATTTAAAACACACCTATGTATTCAAATGCTACAGTATTTTAATATCTGGACACCTTCTAACTACTAAATTAACTTTTAGGACTAAATTACAACTGCCTTTTTTTTTGGCAGGGGAGGGAGATTCTTTCAGTTAAATATATAAATACCACTTTTCTCTTTTGCTAATTGGTAGGGAGAGAGAAACACCAATTAAAAAACAATCTGCCCAAACATTTACAAGTCCTGTAGAAACCTGAACGTTTGGAATATACAATTGTGGCTGTAATTTTACCCTATTACTCATCATTTTAGGATAGCCAACAGTCCTGCCAAACTATAGTCCCTGAAATGCATTTTTGTTATTTCCTATGTATTGCTGTCTGCTTCTAAAATGTCATTCCCTTGAGAAGTATTCCCTCGTGCTTATGTAGGCATTTTAAATACATATAATTTCATAGAATATTTGTGCCACTTATTATCCCTATGGTCATGTGCACCCATATTTTAACAAAATCTTGGGTAGATCTATAACCTTGAAACCATTCCTCAAAAACATTTTGAAGACAATATAAATAAAACCTTTGTATCCATATTCATGTATTACGATTAGCCTTAATACTTCAGTACTTATTCATCCCTTGCACAAAGGTCCTATCTTTATAGTTTCCCTTTCATGCTTTCATCCCATTTACAGTATAAATGTCACCATTATAACTAATAATGAGGCAGATACAATAGGAAAAGAAAGGACTTAATTGTGCTGGAACACATAACTAAGTAAATCAGCCGAGGTAATTAGTAACCACAGAGCGTATTTCCAAGTGTTTGCCGGATGCAGCTTTACTTTAGACAAAAATGGAAAGCAGGAGGTGGATGATAGCTGGGAAGCAGGCAAGCCTTGCATGAAGATCATTCTAATGAGAACTCCAGGCATGTGTTGGAACAACTTGAAAAGAAACACAAAGTCATTTCAAATCATCCCAGAGATTCAAAGGCTGAAGCCACTGTTGAGCATGGACATTTTATTATTGCCACTACAACTTAAAGAAAGTAGCAAATGTAAAACTAACTTATTTCTGAATGGACTTCCGCAGAAAATTGGCTTATACTATCTGTGACCTAATTTTCTGACAGTGGTAAATGCCCATGGTTGATTCATTTAGTCAAGAAAGAATTTTTCAAACCTGCAATTTCCTGAACCACTTAATCTCTCCTTTGTGGGAGGGGTTGGTAGAGTTCTTTTCCAAAACTCTCTACAAGTACTATACCTAGAAGCATAATATGCTCCTAAATACCGGAATGAACACAAATAGGACAGAGTGCTCAGCATTTTCTAGGTTTTATATGTATAGATAAATCTAACTAAAACTAAGGATGAACTAATACTAAAGCCACTTGTAAATCAAGGAGGCTATACTCCTAGTCCTCATAGTGTACAAATGCACACTCACACAGAGGGGAAAACTATATATATATAACCACTTACATATGAAAGCACACTTCCATTTGATGCAGGACCCTGGCGATATCCACTCCAAAATATGATCCATATCTGTTGCATTTTATCAGATTTACATATAAGATTTAATATACAAGATTAGAACAAGCTGCACATAATGTTTCTGTGGTTTCTTTTCCCGACTGCTATCTGTGCAGAAACTCAGTACCACTTAGAAAGTGTTTCGACAATGTTTGCCAAGTGTAGAATAACAGAATATAGGTTCAAAGCAGCACAGGCAATGAGTGCTTTGAAGTTGCTGTCATGGGTCTATAAAGATATGATAGAATATGGGATATGCAGGCAAATTGAAAATGAAACATCTAGGTTGGTAACTATCTTCTCCCTTCTAAGACCCTGCATAACAAGTTACATAAACCTGAGCCTGATTTTATGTATGATGAATGCTAAGTGTAATAACAGTTTATCTGAATTAGAACAAAAAACATTTCAGCTTATAATTTCAAGTGTGAATTATTTTTAAATATCTGAAAAAATTATCATATCTTAAAAGCATCATACTGAATATAGGATATAAATGAATTAAACTTCTAGGTGCTTGTGCTAGTTTTGGTTGGGATAGAGTTAGTTATCTTCTTAGTAGCTAGTATGAGGCTGTGTTTTGGATTTATGCTGGAAGCAGTGTTGATAACACAGGGATGCTTTCATTACTGCTGAGCAGTGCTTACACAGAGTCAAGGCCCTTTCTGACTCTCACACTACCCCACCAGCTAGAAGGCTGGGAGTGCACAAGAAGCTGGGAGGGGACACAGCTGGGACAGCTGATCCAAACTTACCAAAGGGATACTCCATACCATATGATGTCATGCTCAGCATATAAAGCTGGGGGAAGAAGATAAAAGGGGGGAACATTTGGACTTATGGTGTTTGTCTTTCCAAGTAACCATTACACGTGATGGAGTCCTGCTTTCCTGGAGATGAACACCTGTGCCAATGGGAAGCAGTGAATGAATTGCTTGTTTTGCTTTGCTTGCACGTGCAGCTTTTGCTTTACCAATTAAACTGTCTTTATCTTGACCATCCCACTGTGGGGGAGTGAGCGAGTGGCTGTGTGGCGCTTAGTTGCTGGCTGGGGTCAAACTACAACAGTTTGATCCATTTTGAGAATATATAATTTAGATGCTCAGTACTTCTTCAAAGCTATTATGACAATTCAGCCTTTACCTATGTGGTGGGTTGACCTTTGAGAGCTGCCAGCTGCTCTCAGTCCCCTTCCTCAACAGGACAGGGGGACGAAATAAGATGAAAATAGTTGTGGGTCCAGAAATAGGCAGGGAGTATGCTAGCCAGTTACTGTCATGGGCAAAACAGAATTGACTTTGGGAAAATTAATTTAATAATTGCCAGATAAAAGAGGTTTGGATAGTAAGAAACAAAGACATATTAAACCACCTTTTTCCCATACCTCCCTTCTTCCCAGGCTTAACATCACTCCTTCATTCCTGACCCCTCTACCTCTTCCCCCCCACTGAGCCGTGCAGCGATGGGGAATGTGGGTTACAGTCAGTTCGTAACACTTCGTCTCTGTCGCTCCTTCCTCCTCACATTTTTCCCTGCTCCAGTGTAGGTTCTTCCCATCAGCTGCAGTCCTTCAGGATAAACTTGCTCCAGCATGAGTCCTCCACAGGCTATGGTTCCTTCTGTACATTTCCACACTTCCAGTGTGGGGTCCTCTCACAGGCTGCAGCATGGATATCTGCTTCAGCATGGGCTCTTCCACGGGCTGCAGGAAAACACGT